TCTTTATCTACCCAGAGTGCATGTGACCTTCAAATGATCCTTGAGCTTCCTCTCCATAGGCGTCGTGATCCATTTTATTGTACACCACACACATACACACACCTTAACCCTAAGGCTGTTAAATTACTATGAGAGAGAAGAGCCTGAACCAAGATTGGGGCTGAGGAGTTGGAGAAGTAGAAGGTGATTCAGAAGGGATGTGGAAAGTTGAAATTGGAGGATTTGTGATTGATTGCATACAGAAAGTTCTGGGAAAGGAAAGAATTTAGGATGAGTCTTGAAGTATTTGACTTGGGCAGTTGGCTGCATGAAGATTCTCCTACCTGAGGAAGGAAATATTGGTCCTCATGGGCAGTCTAGTTTTGAATGTGTTCACTGGAAGCATCTGTATTTTAGTTGACAAGTCCAAAAGGCAATTGAGTATGTGGATTTGGACCTTAGAAGGAAGGTCTAGACTAGAGAAATATTGGTAGCCAGTGGCACCTATATGGTAGTTCAAACCTTTGACAGATGCAATTACTGGCAGAGATCTTATGAATAAGAAAAGGGGTTCACATACGTGCCCTAGAGAATGCAGAATGAGATGAGCCCACAAGGGAGCCTAGGAAGGAGTGGCTAGGCCAGACACAGTGGCTCACACCTATAATCCCAGCACTTTTGAGAAGCCAAGGCAAGAGGAGCACTGGAAGTCAGGAGTTTGAGACCAGTCTGGGCAGCATAGTGACACCCTGTTTCTACAAAATAAAAATTAGCATGGCATGGTGGCATGCCCCTGTATTCCTAGCTACTTGGGGAAGGCGAGGTGGAAGGATCTCTTAAGCCCGGGAGTTTGAGGCTACACAGAGTTATAATAGCACCATTGCACTTCAGCCTGAGTGACAGTGAAACCCTGTCTCTAAAATAATAAACCTAAAACTGGTGGTCTGTATATTACACTGACTCCTCTTTAGACATTAAGACTTGAATGTGAAAACTTGACCTCCAGAAATTAACAAATAACAGTGTCATGAAGGCATGCAACACAGCATTGTCAGATGGCATGGCCTCAAAGATGCATAAGGGTGAATCAGAAATCTCGAAGCAGCCCCAGGCTCCCAGAATACACCAGCACACTCCTCTGGACCCTGTGGAATATGGGGACATGCTAGAATTTAGCAGCTTTCTCTTGCACATTTCAGTTAAGGTAAGTAGGTGGAGGATGTGTCCTTCCAAGTCATTGGAAGTAAATGAGAGTTTGCCCCACAGAGGCCAGTAGAAAGTATTGAGCTTTTAATGTTCTTAGGATACTTGAGTTAAGGTTGGAGAAGAGCAAGAAAAGGCACAGACGTGTTTATAGGATGGGTAGACAGAGAAACCAGCACTTGAGATGCTGGTGAAGATGACAGAAATGAAAGGCATTACATTAGCTGGTTTCCGTATCACACGTTGGATGCTAAAGCTGATCTGAGCCTGTAAGCGCTCCGAGGCTGTGATTATGGCTGCATTTGGTGTTTCTGGGAGCGGATAGACTAAACCAGAACCTCAAGTACTAAAGAGCTTTCGTTACAGCCTGCTGTGTTGCTGTGCAGCTGGGAAATTGGAGCAGAGGAATCTCAGAAAGGAGTATAATCCTTGGAATGTTAAAAAGAACCTGTGAGCACTTGAGATCTGATGACAGAGTGAAGAACAAAGGCTGAGGTGGAGGAGGAAAGCCAAATGGGAATCTCCTGCACAAAGAAGCACCAAGAAACTGCCAGCCTTCAGGAGGGTGGAGAGAGCAGTGTGTGTGAGAGCATCATCGCCTCGCTGTTTCTGTGGATGCAGGCTGCTTCCTTGCATTTGATTCTGTTGCCCTCTCTGTGTTAAGTTTTTCATGCCTTATTTCAGACAGCATCAGACTCATTAGGATCATTCTAACGCAAGGCATTATATAGCAGCTGGCTGCCATTTTTACTGCAGCATCCGCAAATTTTTCTTTGAAATGTTCTTGCTCAGTGATATGGTTAAGAGGCTGATAGCCAGAATGTGCAAAAAAGTTTAAAAAATTAAAAAAAAAATAAAGCAAATGGTAAAAACCAGGGCAGGGCCAGTATTGAAATAATTGGTGGTTAACCCTCTCCAACCAGATTTGAAGATTCACCCAGATTTGTGATGACGATCACAGAACTGTGATCATTTGAAATAAGAATTCTTACAAATAAGAAATAAAATGTTCATGCAGTGGTAGTTTTGTGATGCTGAGACAGTGAAATATTTTCCCTTAGGGCAAAGAATAACACTTGGTGCTTTAAGTGGGGCAGAGAGAGCAGGAAAGCATTCATCTCAAAAGTGCATCAGAAATTTGAACTGCAACTCTTGATTGCTTTAGACACATTAAATTCCAAGATCCAGAGCATCTTTTCTTTAGGTAAGGACTTTGGAGAGCTGGGAAGACAAACAGGAATACATAGCAGAATGTTCTGACGCTGGACCTTGAACTCAGTTGATAGAAACTGTTGAGTGTTTTAAGCTATTTTCTTGTTTCCTTAAACTTTGGAAGACCTTAGGTCTATACATTCCAAGCAGTACTCCTTGTTTTCTAGCTGTTCTTAGCTAGTTACTAGCTTTTAGAAAAATGAGTTTAGTGATGACTGTTATTGCCCGTTTGGTTTTTCCAAAAAGCCTATGCACATCCCAAATGAAAAATTAATAAATGATTCCCGGAGGTAAATTCATGTTACAAACCAATGTTGCATATGGAACAAATATTGGAATTAAATTATTTTGTCCTCTCTTTGCTGCCCTCACTGCCAAAAAAGAAATTGCTTTGGAGGAATGTGTGGGTGTCAAGAAGAACAGTGATACTGTGTTATATAAATAGCCTTTAGGCTGTGCAAGAAAGTGTGCCGGAAGTTGCTGTTAATTTACCTAGCTGCTATTTAAAATCTTGTTAGATTAGCAGCAGCACCTGAAGAGAGTCTGTATCTGATGTATTCTATTTGTAAAATCCTCCCATATCCCTTTAGAAGTGAATGAGCCCCAGTTATCTAGCAGCTGCTAGTATATGGATTCCAGGCCTAATCACTATAGCCCTCTAAGATTGATACTGAGCACTCAGCAGCTCCTCTGAAGTAACTCCAGCTGGTTCACAGAGAGTTAAGATCAAAGTCTCAGCAATGTCTTACATTCTGAAAGTACCGCTTTCTAAACTCTTCCTTTCTCCTTTATGATTCCTAATATTATAAGATTTAGTTTTACTCTTGCTTTTTAAATGCAAATAGACCTGACATTTGAATTTTTTAATGTAAAATGCCTTTTTACTTTAGAAAAGTTTATCTAAAACAAAATTTGTCCTTTCTAAAATAGGGTTTCCCAATAAGTTATACAATCTCCCAATACCCCCTGCCCGCTACTCCCAAGGAAATTGATATTCCCCTCCTCTCATTTCTTTGCCGGTATTTCCATTCTTCTATTGCTGAGCATCACATGGATTCTTTAACTGGTGTTCAAAATTAAAAGCAGAGCAGTTTGTGATCACTAAGAAGACTAGAGAGCCAGGCACTGAGGATTGTGCTTGTAATCCTAGCTACTTGAGAGGCTGAGGCAGGAGGATAGCTTGAGCCCAGGAATTTAAGACCAGCCTGGGCAACACAGCAAGTCCCCATCCCCTCCAAAAATTTCTTTTTATTAGCCAGGCATGGTGGTGGGTGCCTGTAACCCTAGCCACTGTGGAGGCTGAGACGGGAGGAACACTTGAGCCAGGAGGTTGAGATTGCAGTGAGCTATGATCATGCCACTGTTTTTCAGCCTGGGCAATGGAGGGACACCCCATCTCTAAAAAGGAAAAAAAAATAGAGAAAATGGTGTCTCACGTGTGTGGCTCAGCCTGCTTCTCCTTAGTGTTGTGCCTTTCAATCTGGAGTAATTGGGGTAGACACAGAGTTAGGCCATAGCCATCTGAGTGTGGGAGTATATCTAAGGACTGCTGAGTTGTCTGTTGTGGCTAATTATCCAGACCACTCTACCTTCTGTAAACACATTATGGTGTGACTGTAAGCGTGCAGGATGAAGGTAAGGCTATGGCATGAGGAGGAGGAATACTAATTGCATTAAGCCATAACAAGTGTTAAGAATAGCTTTCATTTATTGAGTCTTTCCATATAACAGGCTTTGGGTCAAATTCCAGACACACATTATAAAGCCTAATCCTCCCAGCGGCGCTTAGCAGTATTATGCCTTTTTGAAAGATGAGGAGACATGGCCTTATGTTAAGAAGCTTGCCCAAGTTCACACAGGCAGTAGGAGCTGGAGCAAGGTCATAAACCCAAACCTGTCTGATCTGCAAAGCTTGCTCTGGAACTGCTGTCCTATACTGCAGGTGGTCTGTCTGGTTGGGGGTGGGCGGTAGGCGTGTGCACTTTCAAGATGGTGGGGGAAAAAGCTTGTTGGCCTAATTTCACAGTTTCAGCTGTGGTGGGATCCTAACGTGGACCACAGAAAGGGAAGTGAGAGTCAGAAGATGGAACAGGAATTGGAAAGCATAGGTCACTATCTGGGTACATGCAAATGTGGTCATCGTTTTACCTCCGAATTATTTTCTTTTTTTTTTTTTTTTTTTTTTTTTTTTTTTTTTTTTTTTTTTTTTTTTTTTTTTTTTTTTTTTTTTGCGACAGGGTCTTTCATTGCAGCTAACCTCTGAATTCTTGATTTGCCTCTGTACATTGAAGGTTCAATTATCCATGTTAAAGGAGTCAAGCCAGATGCGCATGAAGCTAAAGAACCAGTAATCTAAGGAATATTTCAGTAGCAGTTTGCCATTTGCATGTGACTTGTTGAGAGTAGATTTATTTTCCTAAATCTGTTTGCTTAGTCATCCCAGAGTGTTAATGGATTGGCCTGCCCCGCGAGCAAAGATCAAAGTGGATTATCCATAGGGGAAGATTAGACAGTTAATTCTGTAAGAATAAGCTTTTAAATTCATTTAAAAGCATAGCCTCAGACATACTGACACCTTTTTTTTTTTTTCCTCTGAATTCATTTAGAACGTATGCTGTCAGGAGGATAAGAGATGGCTTCAGAGAAAATAAAAATGTAAAGGATCCTGTAGAAATTCAAACCCTGGTGAATAAAGCCAAGAGAGACCTTGGAATAATTCGTCGACAGGTAAGATGGTTCAGTGATGTACTGTTTTTCATTAAGAGCTTTAAACTTTGACATATCCCCCTTAATTAGACAGCAGCGCTTTCGGTGTTGGTGATTTACAGAGTAGGATCATGAAACTGTTCCTTGTACTAATACAGACATGGAAAGGTGAACTCTCATGTTTCCAAATTCAAGTTGAGCTTAAAATATCAGCTTTCCAGAATTTCCAGGGAGTATATCCTTATGGAAAGCTGATGCTTTAAGTATGAGAAACTTCTGCATTACTTTTTTTGAAAGCTAAGTTTTTGTAAGATGTATTGCACATATACGCTTGGATATATTTCATAGTATAAATACATTCTCTTTTTCCTAGTATTTTTCATCATAATTTGGGATAAACAGAATGTTGCCTTTTTCTTGAAGACACCATCGTGGGTGGTGAACCTGAATTACGTTGCCACGAGGGAGGTGCATCTGCAGGTGCAGATGGTGTAAAGTACAGCTGATTGGGTGCTGACCGCAATAAAGGACCCTGGAGGGTGTTTTAGTTTTCATTTTGTGGAAGTGCCAGGGATTACCTTGACTTGTGCTTGCTTTTCTCATTCTCATGAGGTGGGTGGAGCATGTGCTGGGGCAGGGTCTCCTGGATGGTCTGATACATCCACAAGAGTGATTAGAACATCAGAGGTTAAAGTCACCTTCCACTGATGGGTTTCCTCGCTCTCTAAAAAACACCCTTTTCACTGTTTGTCTTTGACTTAGCAATCACGCAATAAACTCCATTTCTGCTTTTATTCGTGTTTCTTTTACTTGCAGGAAATGTGTTTACAAAGTGTGGAGGGGGAAACCCTTTACCATTTTTGTAAGTTATGCTGTACTTTTTGGAAACGGCTTCTTTAGCATCATCGGGAGACGGCAACTTGGCTGACATTAAATCAGACAATAATCTTTCCCTGACCCTTCTTCATGTTTGCCTATAAACAGAATTCAAAAGAGAAGCAATATTTGAAACTATAATTGGCAGTTTATGTCAAGATTAAAGATCCTGTTACATTGCCTACATAATGTAACAGTTCTTTCTAGAATAGCATTTCGGATTCTCATAACCATCCTTGAGTTCTACAGCTATCTAGTAATAGAATAACTGCCACACTCAGGCCTCAGAAATGATCTCTAACTAAAGCCATGAGGATAGTAGGGTACTCAGAAAAGAAACTGATCTGCACATTTGCATGTACTTTGAGAGTGGCATTTATGTGAGTCAACATTTTGAAAACTCAAGAACAATGACATTTCCAGTCACCAGTAGTGGAATTTTATGAGATCTTTTAGCAGTGGAGCATAGAAGCAGCAGCAGCCCGAGTTCTTATTTTGCATAAACTCAGAAAGATTTTGTTCTTTGGCACTTTCTCTGAGTAGAGGTTGGCAAAACAAGTTTTATCTTTAGCGTAAAATTTTACAGAGTACAAACTGCTTAGAAAAGGGGGACTGTAAATAATCTGTGCCATCATTTCTTCCACTCTATCTAATTGTCTGTGTCACTTCTTGGTTTAAAATGCTCAAACTACCCTTTCAAAATAAAAAATAAAAACAAAAAGACTAAACCAGCCCTCTGACTTCCCAGTGAGTCTACCCCCAGGACACTCTTGGAGCATGGCATGTACAGGGCAAGGGCGCCCTCCCCAGGGCAGCCTGGCCACTGCACCTTCCTGATGGAGGAAACACACTGTGGGGCCAGGGCTTCCACAGTGACCTTGCAGAACAGCATGCTGTCACCACTTCAAGGATGAAAGCGTTGGCATCCTTTCAGAGGAACAGTTAGACATCAGCAGCTGGGAAGTTTCTGCTCACTTGCCTTTCATGTCAAGACTCTTCCTGAATCCACATGCAGCCTTTACCATAGTTAAGGTATAAGGCATAGTGGCCCCCCAAGCCATCTGACTGCAAGCTGGCGTTAGTTGCCTTGGACTAACAGCCTACAGCATGGTGGAGAGTCTGTATTCCTGCACACCATCCTCTGTACTGGCTCCTGTGGTAGCCTTCTAACCTGTCCTCCAGGTGCCCCTAGCCCCACTCCACCCCACACATGGCCTGTTTTCCACACACCACCACCACAGTGATCTTTTTCAAAAGAAAGATGGAGCTGCTGCCCTGTTCAACCCGTTCCAGGCTTTGATGAATGGCACCCAAACATAAAACTTGAAGCCGATCTGAAGTCCCAAGAGGCCCTCCATTGCTCTCCTCTCCCTCACTCTCACCATTTCCATGAACTTCTTGCTCCCATCTCAGTGTCTGTGCACACTGTGCCTGGAGGAGTCCCTCCAAACGTTCCTGTAGGTCCCTTCCCCTTCCACCCAGGCCTGTGCTCAGACTTCACCTTCCCATAGGGGCCGTCCTGGGACCACACTATCTAAAACAGACACTCTCCCCTGCCCTGCCTTAGTTTTCCTGACATCACTTAGCAGTACCTACTATGACATTACTGTGGCCTTGTCTATTTTCTCCCTCTTTTGCAAGACAACAGGGACCGTGAGGACAGGGATCTCTCCTGTCACATTCATCATCTCCACTGGGTGGGGACGAGCATGGATTCTGAAGCCAGCCTGCCTGTGTTTATGTCCCGACTCAGCTGGCTAGCTATGTGACCTTGAGCAAGACAGTTAACCTCTCAGTGCCTAATGCAAACTCAGATGAAAGTAAGTCCTACTTCTTTGGTTGTAGTGAGGATCAAGTACATTAACATATGCAAAGCTGCTGGATTAATGCTAGCATACAGTAAATGTCATGCAAATGCTTGCTGTTCCTATCCACAGGATCTAGAATATCCCTCATAGAGCTGGCTCTTAATAAGTTTTCACTGACCAGATAAATGCCTGAAGTATGTTCCCAGAGATCACACACCTCAGTCAGAGTCTACACCACCAAAATCAGGGTGTCTTGTTGGCTACCCGCAGTCTACCTCCTGAAGGAATGAACCATGAAAGGAATATGGAAATCTGATAGAGATCATGACATTTTACCCTCATTGAGTTATGATACTCTTCAATCAAGTCTCTCTCCCACATGATGATTTGGACCCCAAGCCCCACCCACCCAGGTGCACAGGGATCCCAGCTTCACCTTTCCACCAATGAGGAAGCACACAGCCACTTTTCCAGCTGCCAGATAGGCACACCGTAAAGGCAGTGCTCACACTGAAATCCTCCACCCACAACACTAACCTGCTTTCCTGCTTTCCACTCATTCTTCAGCGGGCAGCTTCTTTAGTCACGTGAGTCTGCTTATGATACCCTCCTCCCCACCTCCCATAACTCTGGTAAGTTTTGCAGTTTTTAAAAGAAATCTCTGGACCAAAATGATCTGTTTTTCTGGATAGAGAAACCGAGGTGCAGGAAAGCTGAAAACCTTGTCTAAGGCCACATGGCCAGACATGAGCTCAGGTCTTCTAGCTCCTTAGAGTGAACACAGAAGTTCAAGGACATGGGCTCCTGAGTCAGTAGAAGCTGAAAGGTAAACATACTCTTAAGACATCCTCCCATTTTGTTCCCATGATATTTAAGGACCACTTCAACTCTCCTCAGATGTCATTCATTCTTCCTTTATATCCTTAATGTGCAAGATATTTAATCTTCACTGTGACAACCCTGAGGCATTCTAGATATATCAGCATTTCTTATTAGCCTTCACACCGTTCCTAAGGATTACTCACATTTCAAGAAGTGGCAGGTTGTTTTTCTTTCGCGATAAGCAAGTCAGCTTTCTCTTGCGCTTTTTCTCTTGATTATGGCCCACTCAATAGAAGCCAGACATACACTTGTTCTTTCCTTAACATTCTTGGGCCACGTCTCACCGGAAAATTACCATCCAGTCTGTCAGTCTCGAATCTCTTTCCAACTTCATGCATCATCTCATATCCCAAAATTAAGAGACATTCTTCTACCTTTTGATAAACTGCCATTATTTTCATGTGAGATGATTCTGTGAACCCAGCTTACCCTTAAAGCTCTTCTGGGTTCTCCCTCTCTGCTGAAAGCAAGTTCTGGGCTACACCCACTCAACCTAACTTCCCTATCTGCCTCCCAGGTGAGATCAGAAGGATTTGAGAGGCCTTTTATGTCCAGACAAGCTGGAGCAGGAAAGAATGAAGAAACCTGGGTGGTTTCTAGGATTGGGCAAATAGCTCTCAAACAGTCTGGGCAGCAAAGAAGCACCAAAGGATTTCTACCCTAGACAATTAACAAGGATTCTTAGGTGTTTCACATCAGAAACATGATCAAAAAAGTCCGGCAGATGTTGCTTTTGTCTTTGTACTTTGCTCCATTTTGCTATTCTAAATAAAGATAGTCCTTCTGGACCCTATTTGTAAGGCATTAGTTAGAATGACTATCAGTAAGCTTCCCTGGCTTATTGTAGCTCTGCAGCTTGCTGCTGCACCCCTTTGGTTTTTAAACAACTGTAGTGTATATTGTTTTCTGTCACTATTTCCTGTATGTTAGCACCTGCTCTTCGAGCATCTTCTAGAGACCTGCAGCATCAGCATCACTGGGGCGCCTTCCTTCCCTGTATAGTTCATAGAAATTTAGTGTTCGCCAAAGGGAAAGTATTTTCTAAGCATTTTGAAATAGAGTTGTAATCTTTGTTATAGAGCTAGCTTCATAGCCGCATGTCTACAGAGGACAAAGTAAAAGAGTGTTGGGAATGTGAAACAGGAATGGGAATGCAGCATTGGAGAAGTTGCCAGAACTGGATTTCTGGATTCTAATGAGATTCCCCTGAACACATGAATTAAGATAATGATTTCAGGAATATTCAGCAAAATTCTAAATGTGTATCAATTCTTCCTTGAAACCTGATTTGAACTAATATAACTGCAAAGTTTGGTTACTTTTACACCTATATGATGCAATCAGCATTAATTAGAGCAAAGCAACCTTTCAGTTCTTGTAGGTTCTCATATAACAGCAAAGCTGGGTAACAGGAGTTGTTTACAAGGTGAGGGGTGGTTTGGAGAGGGAATGTTT